AAAGTTCCCTTTATGAAGGGAGATCCTGGGAGAGAACAGTTATGAGTCCTCAGTGGCCAACATGTTGGCCAGTGGCCAGTGTCCAGCACAGGACTCATGCTGGCCGGGGTTAGAATCTGGGTGCTCCATGGTCTGGTAGTTGTGGGAAGATGGGTAGGTCATTTAAATCTCTGAGACTATACCCCAGAATTTTGAAGGTTCAGTGAAGTTTATTGCTTGATAGGGGATACTCAATAAATGTTACTATTAGTATTTCATGGTGCTCTATGACCAACTTATTAATTGAGCCCTTTGTCCTTAGCTCTATAATCATACACCTGACTGCTGACTGAATTCTTCTACCTGGGTGTGGTATGGTTTCTTCGAACTCCACTCACCTACGCTCAGCTCTTCGTTTACTCCACCCTCTGGCTACAGTCTGAGAGACGAGGGCAACTCAAAGAACAAAGAGCCGTGAGACCAGAAATAGGAGAAAAACTGAGAGCAAATGAGAGAGAGGGAGAGCCATAATTTCTGATGATCTGGAGACCCCAAAGCCAGTCCTGCCTTTCCAGTAATGTGAACCAATTCTCCTTTTGATGAAACTAGTTTCCATTGGGTTTCTGTCACTTGAGATCAAGATTCTTGAGCCATGTTTCAGGTATTGTCCTTCTTCACTGGATGAGATGAATCTTTGTTGTCTGCCCTCTTATTGGGAAGTTGCTCATAGGGCCAAGTAGTTCAGTGTTTGTGAGATCCCTCAGGTGAACTACCAGAGGAGTAGCTGGCTTCCCAGCTGAACACTTCCACCCTGCTTTACATTCCAAGTCTGTGGCAGAGAGAAGTCTGGAGAGCCGATGGCAAAAGTCGTTCCTTGCCAGGCTCGGGGCTTTGGACTCATTCATTCAGAGTCTGGGGTGGGCCCTGTGTAGCTTTGGGTTGAGTGCATCTTTGAGCTATTCTTGGTCACTGCCAAAAAAAAACTGTATGCAGTTTTATAGGGGGTGAGGGGAAGAAGCCAGGGATGACATTGTTAGGCTTCTTCAGGAAGATAAAACAGTCTATCCTTTAAAGCTTCTTTAAAAAGTTTTATGGTAGTTTGCCAATTAACAAGCAGCTAATTACAAATGATTTTTAATCATTCAATAAAACACTAACAGTGCTACTACTTGATAAATATGCTTAAAGGTTCTAGTTTATGTATATGTATAAAAGTATTAAGTTGAATTATTTCAAAAGACTGTATACAATGTGTATTTCATTAAATCGAAAGTTTTCTTGTTCCACACTGGTCCCATGGAGTTAAGAGTTCTACTCTGTGTAAAACATACAGAAGTTGTTTAGCTTCCTGTGGAGAGAATCCATAGTAATTCCCAGATTTCTTTCTCCTCTGAACTCTTGTACTAGCTGTATACATAACACTCATTTTATATTTCGTATATGATATCTCATACTTCAACTTATTTTTAAATTTGAAGTCAGTATACAAAATAAAAATGTACATAAAATTAAAGATAGACAAAAAATACAGAGTTCTTTTTCTGTAAGTTCTTTTATTTCTTACTTTTAATTTGTAAACTGTTCTGTTCTATATTTTCTGTTAATATTATTTGTTATTTTGATGATAGCCAATTGCAATATTTCACTCATCTTCCCAATTTAATTTTCTAATTCCAAACTTAATTTTACCAATTACCATCATAGATGTATGTATATGCATGTATTTATGCATGTATATATAATGCTCATACATATACACATATATACAATTTTATGCAATATACATATATACAATATATGTGTGTATGCACAAACACACACGGAATTCACAAATATATTGTAAACCTTTGATGGCAGAAATCATATGTTTCATATAACCTTTCGATTCTCCAGTGACAAGCATAGTCTGCACTTTGGAGACACTCAACAAAGTGTTTTAATTATAATTGTGATAATGACAATGCATCGCCTTGCAGATTTTGAGAAAGATGCAGTAATTCAACATTGGCATGCCTTCCCCATTCTATGGGGCTATTGATGATGAACGAGCAAGAAGACTCCAACACTTCCTCTTGAACTATCCATGCTTCTTACAACTTCTTGGCGATTTTATTACCTCCTCGGTCAGGAGAGATATGGCTTTGAGCATTCAACTGTGTGAAGAACATAGGCAAAATGGATTCATATTCCTGTAGTCTAAGACTAGAAATGTCTACAAACGTGGAAGATAGAAGGGGAGGGTGGAGGAATAGATAATGAGTTTTGATGAAAAACCGTCTGTCTTTGTGTCCACTGCGTGCTTCCTTCTCATTTCTACACCTGCAATAGTTTGTGCAAAGCATGAAGTACAGGCGGCCCTTCGTGTCCACAGGTTCCACATCTGTGGAGTCAACCAATCATGGATAGAAAAGATTTTTTTTAAAAAGTTACACTGCTCCTGACGCGTACTGTATAGTTAGGCCAAAATGGTTGCATCTGCGCTGAACATATGCAGACTCTCTGTCTTGTTATTATTCCCTAAACAATACACTATAACCACTGTGTATATAGCATTCACATTGTATGAGGAGTGATAAGTACTCTAGAGATGATTTAAAGGAAGAATGTGCATAGGTTATATGAAAATACTATGTTATTTTATATAAGGTTATACAAAATAGGTCATATGAAAATACTATGTTATTGTATATCAGGGACTGGAACATCCTTAGACCTTGGTATCTGCAGGGTCCTAGAACCAACACCCCTTGGACATCGTATTATCAACAGTAACAGCAGACTGCAAACACAAGGACTGAACAGCAGAGGCATTAAACAGCAAATGTTATCACACCGTTTAGGTGTCCCTTTTTGGATCGTCCCTGTCCTCACTGCAGGGTAAACAAAAGAAGGAAATACAAAAGTAAAGAAGGAAAATAATAAAATAATACTACTCATCTATGTTTCTCATTAAATATTTATCTATTGCCCCCAGCGTGGCAGGCATATTATACAGCACTTCACAGCTTAAAAGTTCCAGCCATAAATATGCCTCGAGTGCGGCCCACCTTTGGGGTGATGCTGGAAAAACTTCTGGGAGGTTAAAGGAAACCAAAGAATTCCCTTAGAAGGGACAGAGGTGAGGAAATGAGGACCGTTTTTCTTTCAAGTAGGCTGTAATTTCTATGTTTTACTTTTCTTTCCTAATCTATTTTCATTTTTTTTCTTGAAAAATTTCATTTTTTTTTCCATAGACATGTTAAAAGAACAAATTCTCACTGGAGGTCATGGGAGAATCGGGTCGACATTATTGGCCCTTTTTCAATGACAAGAGATTAAGGCATAAAATTGTGAGCAATTAAATTAATGGTACCCTTGGGTCCTAATAGGTACAGAGCCTTTAACTTTGAATGGTTTGGAGAAGAGGGCGGTACAGACTATCAGTATGATTCATTTGCCTCCTGGTGAATTCTGGCACTGCTATTATACATGGGCTGCCGCAGGCAGGAGCCAGTAATGATTCTGAAGAGGTGGTTAGACCCCAGGAGCAAAATACTATCTACATGGATAACTTGGTAGGGCTCTTTTGAAAAAAAAAAGTGAGTCACATTGTCATATTAATCCTTTGCTCCTGGCCAGTCTTTCTTAGTTTCCTGAGTGTGGGCGAGAGTAATAAAGGCATGCTAATGACAAAAGAAGATTTCAAGTAGAATTAGCCCAGCACCTTTGCAGACATCCTCATGGGGTTGGCCAAGGGGGGAGCTGCCGAGCCCCATGGCTGGGAGGACCTACATCTTGGTTCTACGTCCTCACCTGCCATGTTTAGCTATTTAAACACGACCAAGCCAGCTCAATAAGCTGAGCCTATTAAATATGAGTATGAGATGGACTTTATGTGCCTGTGAGACTTAAAGGGAAACAAGTGTCAATGAGCAGATGGGTTGCAAAATATATTCTTAGTATTGCAAACATACCAATACTTAGGTGGAGTCCGATTTGGGATGAAGCTGGACATTCTTCTTAGAGGTGATTAAGGGCACCAGAAATTAGTAAGGGGAGTTTATGAGAAGCTCTGAGCAGCATAAACAGGAGAACTAAGGATCTCTTTTTAAACCATAAAACTTTGTTAAAATTGTCATCCATTTGACTTTCTTTATATATCCTAGACTGGGTAGGGATTCAGGACACAAATCCAACATTCTCACTCTAATGAATGGCCGATCACTTGAGCAATCTTATTTTTTACCCTCTGCTCACATTCATGCTTTGTTTACAGTCATTGAATGACTGGGATACATTCTGAGAAACGAATTTTTAGACGATTTCATCCTTGTGCAGACATCATAGCGCGCACTCACGCTATGTACTAGGCCTCGATGCTATAGCCTAGTACTGCAATTACATTGCTGCTGTACTGCGACAGAAACTGCAGTGTAAACCCTGAGGGTTGGCCTTTCTTTTTGTAATGCGAGTGCCTGGCTTGAGCTCTGATTGCCAAGGCATCCACTCCAAGGAAGACTATCTTGAACAAACACATCGCCAGGCACAGGAACAGAGAAAAAACTCAGCCCTTTGTTTTAGAGATCTTGGACCATTCGGGCTACTTGATTTTTTTCCTTTCATGTCCTTTAAATTCCCATTCTTATGCTTTAAATTGACCAATAAAGTGAGCACTGGAAACCCCAGACCCTCACCGTTGGCCCCAATAAAGGCAGAGCCCCAGGCCAGTGTTCTTGCTCCCCGCTCCCTTGCTGTGTGGCCTCTGGTGTGTCCTGTACGCTCCAGGGCCGGTAAATAACAAACTCTTTTTTTTTCTTCCATGTTTCTTAGTGATTATTGCTGAGGGGCATCTTGCAGTCAGAATGGGAACCACGAGGTCCAGTTATTACACCAGTTTAGAAAGGGGAGCTTCTGTGGGGAGCTCCCCTGGGCCCGGGTGCATGCCACCAGGCCTTTCCGGCTGATGGAAATGATAGCCCGGGATTGGCACAAGTCAGTAAGGAACTGCACTGTGGTGTTGCTAGGTGACGGAAATCATCCTAGTGCTCACTTCGGCAGCACATCTACTGAAATTGGAAGGGCACAGAGAAGATTAGCATGGCCCCTACGCAAGGATGACACACACATTTTGGAAGCATTTAAAATAAAATAAGGATTACATTTTAAAAAAGAAATCATTTTATGGGACCACTGCAGTATGTGGGTCTGTCGTTTACCTGAACGTCCTTGGGCAGCACATGACAGTACCTGTGCTGTGTGCCGTGCATCTTTCTCTGTGCTCCACTCCAAGGAGAAGCTCCTTTGAGGGTGGGTAACATATCTGGCTTGTCTTGGTCTCCTTTAGCATTTCCTAAGTGGGTTCAATGGGACATCAGTGGGGGTCTCAGGTCAAACCAGTCTGCAGAATACAGGGGTTTCCACCCAGACCATTTTTTTCTCATGGTGCCTCTCTTAGGATTATTATTTCTTGGGGTGCACTTTGGGTCACATGGCTAAAGTAGAGTATTTTGCATTGGTAGCAAATATTAAATGCAACAGATAACTGTAAGCCACACTCTTCTCTTCAAGTGGCCCTTACTGGTATTGTGTTTGATTTCACTGGTGTTCTAGGAACTGGTATACTTGGGGTAGCCATGAGGTAGCTGATTGAAAATTTGGAATGATGTGTAGAAGTATTTGTTTAGGAGGTCAGCACTGGGCATAAGTGATGGGTGTGTAACGATTTGGGAGAAGAGCCAGAGGAAGTAGCCATGGAATGTGCCCGAACAAGAAGGGCCAAGAGCAAACATCAGTGGGAGGAAGGAGGTAATACTGGAGTGGAGATGATCTTAAATCAGGCAAACTAATCCTGGAGAAGTCACCCAAGGCTGCCTGCCCAGACCAGGCAGAACCAAGCAGAAATCCAAGCTGGGATATTGAAGAAAAAAGGGAATATATGTCCGGGAAAATAGTTCAACAATAAGAATCCAGGCAACAGATCTAGTCTTGTGCTCAGCACAGTCTCAAGAAATATTAATTGAATGAATGAATGGCAGCGCTAATGGAAAGTGGATACTCAACTGAACTGAAGGGTTTTTGAGTCAGGGGGTTTTCCCGCATTCGTTCTGCTGAGAGTCAGATGCGACACCAGACTGTGGAAGCTCCACAGGAGGAGGAAAATCAGGTCGCCGGAACTGCGTGGGGAGTGAAAGGGGCAGGGAGCAAGGCAGGCTCAGCCGGGCGCTGGGCTGAGGGTCCTGCCCAAAAAGCAACCTCCTAGCCCTTCGTCAACCCTGTTGAAATGTGCCTCAGCAGCTGCTGAGTTTAATTTGCACTTTGGGTTGCCTGCTGTGTCACTGAAAGCAGATATACTTTTTATTTTAACAGGGGATATCTGTTGATAGCACAAGTTTTACATACATTTACACAGAGAATTTACAACTAACGCCCAAGTGGCTCTGATGAGTGTCCAGGGCAAGAGATTAAAATGTACAAGTACATCTCAGGCTGAACAGAAAATATTTGCCTCATTTTCTCCTTGTCACGAGGCTGGAGGCTTAAGACAGTATGAAAAACAGCTTCTTCTTTCTCCATTTATTCTGAAGATTTACAGTTCATTACTACATTAATACTTCCATCTGCTTTTTGCATAGATGTCTAAAAAGGTCTATGTTTTTAATCCATGCAATGTAATGTTCTTCCAATATGTTCACAGTAGGATAAAGCTAATGAGATCAGGGGATAACATGGAGGTTTGACACGTGGTCAGACGGTTAAATGAATCCCAGTGCCTTGGCTCTGACACCTACCAGCTGCATGGTCCTAGGTCAGTCACTTCAAAGTGCTTCCGCTACTTCCTCTGTAACAGGAAGGTAGGAATAGTGCTTCTCTTCCAGGGTTGGTTAGGGATTACATTTGTCAATACATGACAAGCAGTTACAACTGTGTCCAGCCCTAAGTAAACTCAACAGGGTACTAGTGTTGTTGCTGCTCTTATTGTTAGGATGAAAAACCACAGTCCTAAGGGCAGTCACTTGGGTTAGATTTGTCTACTAAATAAGACTAGGGTGCAAGGTCTTCTCATCTCTCCAATTAATTTTTACCTCATTCTCCTCAAAATAGCATCTTGTTTCTGTATTTGATATGTTTATAGTTCTTTCTCTCTTTTTAAAGACTTTATTTTTAGAGAGGGGGAAGGGAGGGAGAAAGAGAGGGAGAGAAATATCAATGTGTCATTGCATCTCATGCACCCTCCTCTTGGGGACCTGGACCACAACCCAGGCATGTGCCCTGGGAATCCAACCAGCAACCCTTTGGTTCTCAGGTCCGTACTCAATCCACTGAGCCACACCAGCCAGGACAATAGTTCTTTCATTTAGTCAAAATGTTCACTAAAGAATTAATCTGACATAGTTTTAGACCCAGCAGAAGCAAGGCAAAAGGCAACACCAAATGGCCAACTTGACCTGGAACCACAGCACAGAAGGTTGAAAAGTGGTTTTTGTCTTGTGCAATTGGCATTCTGTTTCAGGGAGGTACAAAATGGATAAGGAAGCAAACAAATATAAACATTCCAGAAACATCTGTGAAGAAACTAAAGCAACGTGACATGACAGTAACTGAGTGACAGAGAGAAGTGTAGACTTGGCTGGCTTCCCAGACTAGGGGAGACTTTGCTAAGAAGGCTCTTCGTTGAAGGAGAGGATGCAGAAGATGTCAGGGCTTTTTGTTTTTTTTGAATGAGTTCATGTTCAACTACAGCTTTCTGCCCAGCAGAGAAGTTATCGAGATCAGCACTGTCCAACAGAAATACATGGGAATCCCTTATAGGATTTTGAAGTTTCTTACACCCATATTTTTAAAAAGTAAAAGAGAAATTTCTGAAATTAATTTTAATAATATATTTTAAAATAATATATCTAAAATATTTGAATATATAATCATAAGGCAAATATTGAAACATTTTACATCCTTGTCATTTTGAACCAAGTCTGTAGAAATCAGTGTGCGTTCACACAGCACGTCTCGATTTGGACTTACCAATTTTCCAGGGCTCAGCAGCCATGGGTGCCCAGTGGTCAATGGACTAGACAGCACAGGTCACAACCACAGGTACACAGTGGCCCTTGGGCCAAATCTGGGAAGCCACCCTGGATTGTTAATAGGTTTGGCTGAGAAGGGGAAGTGGGTTGTAAGCAAGCGAGTTTGAGAAGTGCTGGGACAAACGCAATGAGTACTTGTTTGAATGTAGAACTTAGGACTACTATGCACTGTGAGTTTTCTGGAGGAGACAGAGTCGTCAGCATTTCTGATTTATTTTCAAAATTACGGAAATAGATTTCTCAATGAGTTTTTAAATGACGAATGTTCTTTGAAATACATGTTGAGAAGATTATCTCCCTTGCACAGTTAAGCATGTAATAGAATATATTTTAGGTGAGTGAATGAATGAATCGATAGTGAGTAGTTAGGGACAACGGCATCAGTATTCTCTCTCCAGATGGCCAAAGGAAATGAGCAGCCAACACCCAAACACCTATTTCCAGTTCCATTTACCTTCTCCTGGCCCTTGCTTTTCTTGGATTCAGGGCTGATTGATCCTGTCTCTCTAGGGCAGAAAATCTAGTGGCCTTTTCACGAGAACCACAGCTGTGGGCATGCGACTAGCTTTCCTAACAAGGCTTTAATAGCATGCAAACCTGCCTGAACTTCTGGTGGCCCTGCAGCTAACGACATTGCAGGGGAAGCTGGTAATCCGCTGAGTGCCTGGTGGGTACCCTTCCTGGGAGAAGAAAATGGCAGTGAAAGTCCTCAGACTCAAGGTCACAGACATGGCACCAGGCTGTCTCCAGTCTCCGGGCTTTCAAAATGACCCCTGGGGCCCTGGCTGGCGTAGCTCAGTGGATAGAGCATGGGCTGCGAACCAAAGTGTCGCAGGTTCGATTCCCAGTCAGGGCACATACCTGGGTTGCAGGCCATGACCCCCAGCAACCGCACATTGATGTCTCTCTCTCTTTCTCCTTCCCTTCCCTCTCTAAAAAGAAATAAATAAAATCTTTAAAAAAAATGACCCCTGGGCATGAGCCAGTGAGCACGCTTCGTTTCCTTCTCAGGGTACAGCAGCACATTTGTTTATGGAGTGGAGTTGCCCTTGGGGGTCCTGCAGGCAAGGAAGAAGGGAGATGCGCCAGGGAGGGATGAGGGAGGGGACTGCATGCCTCCTGCACAGAGAACATCAGTCTTCATTCAACGAGTCTTATTGATTGCGACCTCCTGGCTGACTTCTGTGTGTTTCAGTTATAATTAACTTCCATATATTTTATTGGGACTTAGTGGCTTGTCAGGGTTTTGGGAACTCAGTACGAAGCTTTGGATGTGATGACACTACTGGTCTTCCACCAGGGCTCATTTTAGGGTTATGGTTAAAGATAGGAGTACCCATGGCATTTCATCCAGCTTCCGTTCGTTTTATTTTTCCTTTGAAGAAAGCATAGGGTAGGGGTTTTTGTTTTGTTTTGTTTTGCTTTTGTTTTTGTTTTTGTTTTTCCCTCAGCTGACACTGTGAAGGGAAATGCTTAATGCAAAGCAAGTATGCCCTTCAGAAATTTTTGTGAAAGAGTTTTTAGATCAATGCCTGAACTAATCCCGTGCTCCCAGAAATTGACCTTCCTCTCACGGTACATGATACCTTCTCCCAGAAGGCAGAAACAGGTTTATTAATCAATTTTCAGTTTGCAGTGATTCGCTGCAGTAAAGGGGGAAGAGCATTTAGATGAAGCATCCAAAGTTTTGCTTCTAGCCTGTCTTCCGTGTGAGGTCTTAGACAAGTCACTTTATCTCCTTGTTTCCTGTTCATCTATCTGCAGAATTGGGTGAGGAGAGGGGAAACAGTTACAGCACTATGTACACGCATCGTGCACTTACTACCTCCAGGGCCCCGGGCTGTGCAATCTAGATTCTTTATCTTGCTTAGCCCTCAAACAATAAATGCAGCAAGATATAGGTGTTTCCTTTTTGAAACGAGGACCCTGGGATCTAGAAAGATTAGGAGACTTGTCTTTGTGCCCAGGTGTGACTGACTCCACAGTCCAGGCACGTAGTTACTAGACTACACGAACATTCTGGATATTGTCAGGAGGAAAAAAGATGCCCCAAAGCACAATCTAATCC